TCGAAAGATGCAAGCGACGAAAGCCCTTTCTGGACACCGTAATGAAGTAAGGTGCCTCGTCCTGATCCACCTCCGCATCGAAATCTTGATATGCTCCTGGCAACGAAGCTTCCATGTCGCCTGCGGCAGCTCGCACTCTCTCAGGCGACACACTCAAACAAGGAAAAGCACCGCCCAGCTTCCAAGTGCCCTCAGCATCATCCCATTGAAGAACTGAGCAAGCCCGAACTACAGAGTCACCACTCGCTCCAGAGGCTTCCGCAAATGCATGCAGTTCGCAGAACAATTCCTCCTCGGAGTAACTTCCCTCGGCTCTGCCTGTAAGTAAGCACTTGCACACGAAATTCTGAATCCCCTGGACGACCTGGCGAGAGGTCAGCACATAGTCCTGGGACCCATGCTGCGCATAGGCCCAACGCCCAAGGTAATCTCGTTGGTCCTTCTTGACTCCGAGCGCTGCTGCAATGCTTGTCAACACATGCCGCGCACTATGCCCTGTCCAGAAAGTGACGATTGCCCCTTGGAAAAGCAACTCACGCGAAACCTTCCAAACCCCTTGCTGCCGCACGGGAGTGGGCAAATGCTGAAGGAGTCGGCGCAGCTGCAAGGCCAGGCCTTCTGCATCCATGTAGCCTCTTGATGGCACATCCCATTCGCTGCTAAAGGCGGGACACAAGAAATCACGTGACCAGGAGAGCAAATCGCCGTTCAAGAGTTTCACTCCCTCCCCAAGCCAATCAAAACCACTCAACCCAGCAAGTCGAGAAACAAAACCATGAAGTTCCCCGACCTTCCTGCCCGGACCGCTGGTCTTGGTCTTGCGAAGTACAAAGCGCAGGCCCACTTGGCTAAGTTTCAGGCTTTCCGGATCAATGTTCTGAACATCGTCACATCGCATGCTTGCCCAAATCATAAGCAACAAGACGAAAGCCGTAAAGCGCAGTCCCAGCTCATATACTGGACGACACACTACCATCTCACAAGCAAGGATCACTGCAATGGGCAACAGTGGTGCTGCTTTCACGGCTGGGCCCCCTGCCTCCAGCTCTGCAGTCCAGGATCTCACGCTTTCGATCAGTAAGGGGTCCTCGCTCAGCCGCTCTTCCGAAGCGACCATTCCCACCGTCTCCAGCAAAGACAAGCTCGCCATGATCGAGCTCGGAACAGTCTTTCCCAGAAGCACTGTGCCATGCCTCTCCTCCAGGTATTTCAAGACCATCGCTGCTGAAGTCGGCCATGTCTGGCCATACGATGCCACCAGCCAGTCCCGGAGTGGTTTCCACGCCCGTGCTCGGTTTCGCAAAGTCTTCCCTCTGCGACTCCCAAACACACGTAGCCACTGCCGGCTTCCATCGCCCAGGGCCTCCATCCGGGCCGCACATGGTAGCTTAGATTCTTTGATGTAGCTCACAAGTTCAAGTGCCCACCGCTCCTTAAGCTGAGCTTCCAATTCCTCGCGATTCCCGCCGCCTTTGCTCACACGCACTGCTCGCTGCAACAAGGCGATTGCCACAGCCGGCGTCGTGCTCACGACCTCATCAAAGACATCTTGCATGCTCACTCCAGGCCTTGGCACCTGTACTGGCAATTCAGGCAGTGCTTTCTGTAACAAGCGAGATGTTGGCGGCTCCCGCCGCTGCCTTTTCTCTCGCCATTGCCAAAGTGATGTAGAAATACGATCCACCTCCGCCGATGGCTTCTTATCTCCCAGCAGTTCAGCAACCACCACTGCAGCACCTGCCTCATCTTCAAAAGCGCCGTCAAACTGTACCAAAGAATGATAACACTTCTGCACTTCGCATGCCAGATCTTCACTCACAGCAGTTAGACCACGCCAGTCTGCGAGCCTCTTCCCTGGAGGCATACCAGCACGTAGCCCAGTCCATTGCTGAGCCAACGGTCTACCGCCCCCCCACTCACAAACTTTTCTGGATCCAAACCGGCCACGAGATGCTCAAGTTGATTGCGAATGCCAAACTGCATATGGCAAGTCACTCAAGAATCGGAAGCTGTACAAAGGAGAAAATTCCATTTCATTTTGTTACACAACTTTTCCCCCGGCCCACCCGCCCGGCTCAAACTTCGAGACAATCCTTTTGGGGGACCCAAACGGTAAGTCATTCGATTTTTCACCGGACTCGGCGAACGCCCAACCTAGGAGTTTGAACATCGCCGTCACTGACGCCTCTGCCGACGCAGAGCACCCTGTCGTCGCAAAAGTGACGAAATCGTCGAAGAACGACGACCAAGGCAAGAGCAATGCCTTTGCACCGAGGAACCACAAGGAATGACTAATCCTAAGGAAAGCGTAGACTGCCATTGACGATCCGAAGGGCATGGCTTTCATCCTAAAGTATACCCGCTCATTCGTGTCTGGATGCACGAAGCAGATGTACGCTGCCCAGGCCGTGTCTGGGTGGACTGGCATCTGCCGGTAAGCTGCAGTAAGATCGAACGCCTTGCCTAGGATTTTGAACAAGACTTTGCCTGCCCTCTTTTTGATGGATTTCAGCAGTCGAAGACACGTGGATGCAACCACTGCGAGGTTCACCCCCGACGAAGTCAAATTGTCAATGCACCTGACCTTCTGACCTTGCTGGATTCCAAACCGACGGCTAACCAAGATCCCATCGCACAAGCTGGACTCGCACATGGGACCAACGATCCATCCTGCTTCTAGCTCCTTCTCAGTCTTGGTGCAAACTTCGACTGCCAAGGCGGGATCCTGGGCCTTAAGGGAATTTTTAACCTTTTCCCGAAAAACTTTTGAGTCCTCCCTTACCTGCTTAGGCGTGGCTTGCATGGGCTTGAACTTTGGTTTAAAGACTCCCGAAATGGGCGCATGCCCCACCAACGGGACGCCTTCCTTGAGAAGGCTCGACACACACAGGTCTGGGTAATCATATTTCTTAAGCAAAGCTTCCCACAAAAGGATGCGTTTGGATGCTGTAATCTCACGAACATCAGGGTGCATGCTGGCCTTCAGCTCCGCCTCATTGGATGACAAAGAAGTCGCCAAGTGCAACCACTCCTTGATTACCCTAGCCCTCAAAGCGGAGGCGGAAGTCTCCCAAATTGTCCAAGGATTCAAGAGTATCATTCAAGGGGGCCGGAAGCACAGAGCCCATCGACCTTGGGTGACATGATTCGGACGCTTTCCGCATGAACTGCTCGGGCTCCCAGGGTAACCCCCAAGCCATTTCCCAGGAATCAACTTTCACCAGTTCTTTCCCCCCATCTTGGACTATCGGCACGTGCCGGAGCAGCTGAGCTTTTGCCGGGATGTGTGCCAAGGTGGCACCACACTGTGGCGGCACGGGCCACGGCTTGCTGAGTCGTTGCATTGGCTGACAGGGCAGCACGAGCCCCGGAGGGTGCTGCAAGACTATGACCCGCTGGTGCTCACTAACTAGTGGCGGTATCTTGCTAGCACGGGGCTGGGCACCAGCCAAAGCACGGGACATAGGAACTTCCAAGCGAGGATCGAAAGCATCAAAAGATTGTGGGGGCGATCGCCAGCCCTTTCGCACGAAGTGCTGAGCAAAACAGCAAGCCAGCTGCATGGCCAGACGCACGGGGTAGGCGCCATGCAATGGGCATTCGGACATACGCTCCTGTCTGCACGGGCTGCCCGGGCTGCCCGGGCAAAACCTAGCAAGCTTCGAAAATGAACGATCGGTGACAGCGAAAATGGTTGTACTCAAGTGGTTGCCCTCATATGCGCATTCGTGGCACGACACAAAAGTAAAATTGGAGGAGACCTTGGTCCAGCAGTCAGATTTCCAAAACGTCCCATCGCCCGCCTGGGCCAAAACGCAGACAGCCCCTCGGCCGAGGACATGTAGCAAGGCTGCTGCCAAGAACTGACCCGTAGCATCGGTCAAGTGAGCAGGCGGAGTCACAAAGAGGCCGGCTAATCTAGGCGAAGATAGCCACTCCATGCAGAGCTCCTGTCCTTTGGGCGTGGCCAAATCGGCCTGTAGGCAGGTTGAGATGGACCTGCGCTTGTCAGCATCTACCCCGACGGCTGACAGTCCCAACTGTTTAAGACAGGCAGTCACCCGACCGGACCCCGAAAACAATTCAATGACTAAGGGGTCGCACCAGGTTACAGGATCAGGGACGGCATCGGTGATGCAAGCAGAATTATCGCAGGGCTTAGAAGGCAGTTCATCCAAGTGGGCCGGGACCACACCCCGCGGGCAGGTAGAGTCGCGGCCCTGAGAGCACGACGCTGAATCGAATGCACTTTCTGGAAACCCTGCTTGCAGCAGGCGTCGGCGGTACTCCGGAGACAAGCTTGCAGCGTGACTAGGCTTGAAGGCGACAAGCAGCACCCGGTCGCCAGTCCAAGGCATGGTGCAGTGGGTTTCACGGGGGTTTAGGGTACACGGCCCATCGGCAACCCGAACTAAGGACCCAGAAAGGCTAAACCCTAGCTCGTCCTGCACGATGTCGTTGCCAGGCCCTTTTTGCCAGACCTCCCCACCTTGGAATGCGGTGATCGGAATCAAGTAGTTTTGCGACCCCAACTCGTTGTTTACATCGACATGCAAGGCAGTCTGAAGGTCCTGAAGGTTCTTATAAATCGCAACAGCAGTGAAGTCGGCATCTGGAAAAGTTTGCAGCACAAGCTTACACAGCAAGCGCGTACAAGCTGGGAAAACTGAGGTGTGTTTCCGGACGCCTTTGAGCGGTCCTTTGGCATATGCTCCTGAAGTCCAGGAGAAAGTGTTTGGTGCCTCTTGACCCCTCGCTGGGGTCTCACTCTCAAGCAGGGTGATCAATTGCAAAACATCGGCAAGCTTTCCTTCCCGAAGCTGTGAACAAAATTGCTCAGCTGGGTGCACCGGCTCAACGGATATTGTCCCCGGCGTATCAAGCTGAATGGAATCTGGCATCGGTGAGTCCTGACCTCCAGCTGAGGTCGATGTGACTGACGTAACAGCGGCCCCACTGTCATCGGTCGGCACAAAACCTTCCGGAACACTTTCCGACGGTCACTTCTTTCTCTTCGGACACTCCTGAAGACCATGGTCAGGTGCAAAGCACAATGCACAGACATGCAAGCCTTTGGGGCACGGATCCTGAGTGCAGCCGCATGGCAGATTCCTGGAGAAACAAATGCGCTTCTTATCGGGAGTCTCGGCAACTCCACCCAGCTTACGGATGGCTTCTGGCACACTGGGCTGCCAAGTGCCCTTCTTGCCCTTCCCTTTGCCTTTGGGGGGCTTCGCGATTTTGGGATCCCTCTCAACCCCGGGCTTATGTGGTGCGGCGACCCTCTTCTTGCTTTCCTCCGACTTCCGCGGAAGGAGAGCTACAGTGACGTCGAAGGTCTCAAGCGTGGGGAGCAAAGCCCGATCAACAGGGTACGTTCCATCTGCACTCCTTTTCGGACTGATTTCGTTTTCGATCATTCGCGTCCAAACCTGCCTGTCTGCCGTAAGGAGCTGGTGCACACTGGTCCTGGCATAGCCTGGCGGGGGCTCTCGCCCCATATGCCCAAAGAGTTTGAGCACATAACGTTCACGCGCCACGTAGCTGGCGACACCGGCGAACTGGAGAGCCACACCTCGGCGCTTCAGAGCCTCCTGCAATAACAAAGCTGACCCGCAGGCAACTTCGGGCAACCCTTTCTCCTCAGAAATCGCCAGCTTGCCCTCTTCCAAAGACAGGACTTTACTCTGGGCCTTGACATTTTGAATCTCATACATGCGAGTGCCACACTGCTCGGGAGCTATGTAGCGAAGCTGCCCCTCTCTCTCCATTCGACAAGCTGCATTCAAGAGCCCGTGGGAGGGCTCCAATGACCCCTCAAGCACAACACCCGGTATGCTGGCACGCACTGCTTCCATCCTCTTCTGACGCTCAACTGTCGGGACATCACGTGTAGACCACTTATCGGGCTGGGTCACCTGTTCCCTGAGGTCATTAAGCAAGAGTGCCTGACTCTCGAAAAGAAGTCGCTTGACGCTTCCTTTCTCACCCAAGAGGGCCGCCGGCATCACCGTGGAAATGAAGTCATCAAACTCAGATTGAGGCAAAGGCGTACCCGGTTGACCGCAAGAGTAAGCCAGCTTGCTCAAAGTATCGATCCCATGGTCCGCGAGCGCCCTGAGGCTTTCGCGACTGAGGCCCACCTCGGGAAGTGGTGCGTACTCTCTACAAGGGACGTCATGTTGAGCCCACAGTCTCAAGACGAACACACTCGAGCGCAATCAAGCAAGTAGCTAAGAATCACACATGTCATGCGAAAACCTCGACACACTCACAAAGCACTTCGCTACGAGCACCTCGCTCCCTGCTTTCTCTCCCGCACATGATACATCCATCGTTTCGCCCAAAAGCGCGCTTTGCGCGGGCCATCATACATTGCGCCGGCAGGTCCGACACTCTTTGCCTCGACTAACTTCGGCCCTCGTCGCTTCACGATAATTCCCACTTACGGGTCGCCCACATGCGAGCAGCATCGGAACATCATCGGGGCTAGCAAGCAGATGCAAGACCCCACTCGAAGTGTTCACATACCACACCTGGTCGGGCACCTCGACTTTAGCTCGCTTCCACCTGCGAACAGCAGGCTGAACCGCCTCGCTCGCAGATGACGAGGAGGAGGACTGCGATGACTGGGAAGAGTCGCTGCACTCCTTGTCTGAAGAAGCAGAGTTCCCTGCCTCAGAATCGTCGCTGCTGACCACCTCAACTTTGACAGGATTGGGCTTCTCAGCTCCTTTGGACGGGAACGCCCCATCACTAGCGGCTCGCCTCGGGAAGTAACTCGAGCGACTGTTATCAGGGAAGAAGTTCCCCGATGCAACCTCCCTAATCATGTCCTGAAGCCGCCTCACCGGCGCCGCCGACAGCTCTCTGCTGTAGATGGCTTGCGTTGTCTTGACTGAGGAAGCATGCCTCCCCAAGATGCTTTTCAGGTCCTCGTCGAACCCGAACTTACCTCCCCAGCCCAAGCAAGTGCCTCGCAGCGAATATGCAGTGACCCTGGGGGCCGAAGGATCGGTGACCTCCTCAGGCAAACCCAAGAAGGCTCTCAACATCTTGCCCACTTCAGCTGAAGCGATGGACCTCCTCGAGGAGACGACCCCTGACTCGTCGGCAGGTGCTAAGGTCAGCGGACCCCGAACCGAAGTCAGGCTTCTCCCCGCGTTCCGAAAAGCGGTCAAGGCTTCATCAATCCAGCACTTTCCATGGACCCCTATCATGGGAACCAAGATCGGCAAGAGCTTGGTCTTAAGCTGCACCTTCCTGGCTCCCTTGTGCTGGGAGACTTCGAACACTAGCAGTGGGTAGTCTGCTCCAGGCGGGCAGTCAACCTCGACCGATTCAACGAACAGGAAATCGCTCGGGCGAGCCCTAGCGTACAGCCTAATCAGCAGAGACGCAAGGAGTGCGCGGTCAAAGCAATGCAAAGCTCCCGACTCCAACCTCGCGTGCAGCTCAAGAACCTGCGAGACTGTAAGATCTTTCGCCTGGCGAAGCTTGCGAACATTGACAAGCTGTTGTTCTGTGGCTCCAGCAATCCTCTTGGAATCAACGATTCCCGACAACCGGAACCCCAGCACGAAGTGAGCGAACCTGACAGCACTCAGGACCGAAGCGGCCTTGGAGGCCGGCGCAGAAGTTTCCTTGAGGAACTGCACAAAATTCCACACCTGCACCTCATGCAGCCTGCTTGGGGCCAAGGGCTCGTGGACATCCAACCACCGAACAAAGGTCCAAAAGGATGCGGCACGCTTGTGAATGGTGTGCGGTGACTTCACTCCCACAGCGGCCGAGACAGCCACCAAAACATCCTCATAGCCCGCTTCTCTGCCACTCAATCCTTGAGAGACACACTCATAAAGGGAGCAGCACTCGGAATACCTCAGCACAAGCCTACTCCACATTCCGATCCCTTGCTCCCTCTTTCGCTCTCGCTCTGCGGCGGGATCGCGAGCTGCAGCACCCAACGCAATGGCCCAAGCGAAAATCGAACCTGAAGGAGCCTCCTTGGGTCCTGCTGGAGGTCGATGGGCAGCCTGGGCATTATGCGTGATGGGCGGAAAGATCGAGTCCTGCTTTCGGCCTTGCAACGGGTCCCACACGCAATCTGGGTCGAAAAGCAGCTTGGAGAACTCACTCTCCCACGGAAGCTTAAGACCATCGTCGAGTCTGCCGAATCTAGCAACATCTTGCTTGACGAGCCCTCCTACAAAGGAACCCAGTGCATCATCAACGACACCAGCGGTCGACACAAACTCTCCTGAAGCTGCTAAACTAATATCTGCAGAGGCATCCGCATGTGCAATCGACATAGCCTGGTCAAGATCGGGGATCGAAGAAGCCGCCTGCTCACAGGGCGCAGCCGAGGCCGAAGCTGTCCTCGATTCCACATTCTCGACATGAGAATCGTCGCTTCCGAAAATGTCTCGCATCAGACTTGCCACTTCCCTGTTTGACCGCTCCACAGACTCCGAGTCCATAGGCGTCCGAGCTGTGGCAGTTTCGGGTGCATCGTCTTCCCAGTCTTCTGGGAACTCAAGCGGAGGGAAGTGCAGGTCGTTCTCAACACACTCACTGCCAAAGCTGACACGACTAAAGCTGCCTGCAGAAGATTCGCCACAGCCTGGGAAAACCTGAGGTAAGGGCGCATCGCCTGCAAGGTCGCTGACCCCTAGAGGCGGCGAAGGCGGGAAAGTAAACTCACCAACCCCCCCTTGATCATTTGCAGCCTTCGCACGGGCAGGTGCGACGGCACCTGTCGGTGATTCCATCCTAGTCCTAATCCAAGGTATGAAGAAAATCGGGCCCGTCAGTGCACTCCGGCGTTCCTTCAAGCCGAGTGATGCGCTGTTGCAAAATCAGGAACTGGGTCTGCAGCCTAAACTGATTCTCAAGCAAGAGGTCGGCGCGCTCGTGCAGAGCTGTCAATGCTTCGAGAGTCTCGTCCCTGCTATCGACGTCCTTGCGGGCTTCGGTCGAAGCCCCACGCACCAAGCTGAGCAGCGAGCACTGAATGTACCGACTGAACTGTTCAAGCTCCGTCCTTGACACCATGCAACGCCCCCCCAGGCCTTGAGGAGCCACGAAGCCTTGGATTTAGCACCCGGAACCTCTTAGACAGCACTTTACGGGGACTTTAGAGAGCCCGACAAAATTTTTGCTCAGCTTGAGCATTCGCACTGCAATCATCAAGAGAGTGATTCGCGCACTGCAGTCGGAAGGAAATGCATGTCGCTCAGTGAAATCAAGAAAAGGGCACACGAAGAAAATGCAAAATTGTAAAGCATGTCATTTTTCAAGAATGGTCCAAGGCGGCCCAGGCGAGGGCCTTCGTCCGGGCTCAAGAGAATCCACTATCTCGGAGCGAGACTGTGTGGATATATATATATATATATATAACTTCAAAAATTCCCATCGCAAAGATATTGTAATCAGAGGACCGATCGCTCGCGCAGTGTTTCTTTCTCACAAGTGCATAACGACGGGGGTCGGTACAGAGATCCACGAGATGCAACCGCCGTCATCGACCAGCTTCCTTAGCCGATCCTTTCCGACGCTTTTTAAACTCGTTGCCGCCTCCGGCAACTTTTGCATCACTCCTCCGTCCACCCCTTTCTGCACATGTGATGCACGAGTAATCAGGTTGGACAGTTGGACTCTCACGAACAAATTCTCACACCTTCCGAATTCAAGTCGAGAAGCATCGTCGGCTATGTTGCTCTTTGATGGCACTCTGCAATACCAGCTAAGCGTCTTGGACTGCATATCAAGGAAAGCAGAATCAAGGAGAAGCGATGTAGCATCTAGCACTGGCGTAAAGCATCGAACAAAGCACGCCCTTGCAGCCTCGTTGTCGATGAAGTAAATGCACGACCTCCCTTCTAAGATGTGTCGCCATGTGGCCTTGGCTACCACCACCGGAAGGATCTCAGCATAAGACACAAGCTGCTTCTTGCCGGAGCGTTGCCACAGCTTCACCAAGTTATCGGGAACATTATCCCCGAAGAACTCCTGCCTCCCCGTAAGCGGGTCGAAGAGTACGGCCCCGTGTGTCGTCACAGATCCATGCTCTTCACAAGCTCCGTCCGAAAATATGACAACAGGAGGCGCATCACCCAACTTCGAAATAACACGCGGGCCTGAGACTTCAAGCATGTGAAGAGCTTCCTGGGAGGCCGTCAGGATGCTCTCCGTTCTGCGTTCTGATAAACCCAACCGCTGAGCCACGCCAATGGGTTGCGTGCACATCTGTGCACACCTCCCGTACACATGGTTGGTGGCGAACAGCAGCCGACCTTTAAAAGAAGCCAAAGAGTTCTGCAAGGTATTCTTGTCGGCCTTCATGGTTTCCAACATGTCCCATAAAGCAGAGATCCTGCCCTCTTTGTTCGAAACCGAAACCAGACCCTCGTCGGACTTACCAAGATCAAGGGAGACTCCCAGGATGTTGAAGCTCGACGCATGCGGTGCAACTTCTCACCGTTGGAAATTTCCCAACCCAGAAGGTCCATGATCCTCTCTGCTGTGGTTTCGGAAGATTCCGCCAAAGCCTCGAAGTCGAGCTGAGTGAAATCGTCGTAGTAACTGGTATTTACTAGCCACAGCAAGCGCGACAGTATAAGTTTCAAAGCACGTGCAGCATGGTTGAATCCCGTCACGCTGCTCACTGCTCCAAACGGCAGTGCAACTGCCTCAAAGAACTTCACCTCATCCTCGTTTGGATCATAGACAGCCAAGATTGTTGCCCAAGCATCGTGTGGGTGCCTAGCCAGCTGTTTGTAGGCGGCTCGTAGGTCAAGCGCCCTTCATTTCAGCTTTCTGGATCCCGAAGTTGTAAAATCAGCATGAACAGTTCCCTCGAAGAACCCTCCATTCTCTGCCGGCAATCTGAAGCGATCCTCACCGTCCTTGGCAGCGCAGCTGAAGAAGCGTGCTGTGGCTACAATCTGGTCCACCCCTTCAAGCGTGATCTTTTCAGTTTCGGTAACCGAAGAGTTTACGAGAAATTCCGACAGGTCGTCGATGGCTCTGATCTTTTCATTCTGGACTATGCCAAAGCGCTTGGAGCCAATCCAAGTTCCTTGGTATTTGGCGTCCACCTCGCTCCAAGTAAACGGGCCACGGAGCCACCCTTTATCTGCTTGCTCAAGCGCTTCATCCCAGACTGCAGCCGACACCTTGTCATCCTTTGCAGCCCGTCGACAAGAAGAAGCAACTGTATGTTTGGCCCACTTAGCAGTCGTTTTGAGGTCGTCGTGAGACAAAGACGCAGGCTTCAATCTCTTCTGAAACATTCCAGAAGGTTGCAGCTCACCCGTTATACGGAAGCCTTCGACAAAGTCCTTGATGAGGTGCGGGTCGGCGATTCCAGCATCGGCCAGCATTTCCTGGAACAAAGCAATCTTCTTGGAGTCCATAACTTTGCGCACCTCAGAGTTCATGCCCTCTTTGAGATTCTTCTCTGCCACCTCAAGTTCTTTAGCCCGACGTTCGTAATGCTTCAAAGTTCTTTCCCGGTGTTCGATAGTCCCTTGAACCCCTGCCGTGAGCACATTGGCCATGGCCTGCATGTTGGAGTCGTCCAAGGCTCCCGGGACATCGAAGATGTAGCTTCCCGCACTTGCTCGCCCCCTTTTCTTGATCGCGCGGACCTGAAGAAGAAGTTTGGAACCAATCGGGATGCCAGCTAAGCATTGGTCGGCCTGTGCACCGACCTCCGCAGGAAACTTGAAGTCGCCGTTGGCCGTGACTTCCACACGCGACAAATACTCGCTCGGCCCAACAGAAGGAGCATCGCGGCGAGACTGCTTTTGAGCTGCCTGTGCCGCCCGTGCCCCTGGCGCACCCGGCTTTTCCAGAGACCATCCAGCACCTTGAAGAAGATCACAAACGTCACGCGCCACAGCAGCAGCACAAAAAGCAGGAAGGTATTCCGCTTCCGCCGCTGTTGCAAAAGGACCACTGACCATTGGACCTTGAGCGGCCCCAAGCTGCATGTTGATGTTTGCCGTCGCACATAGCATGCATGGATGGAAGGTCATGCGTGCACAGCAACGAAGTCTTCTTATCGCGCTGCGATCCATAACTGCAAGCCTGATGGTTGCACCAAACACCAGCCTGAGCGATGGTACGGAACCACGAAGTCTCCCACATGAGGGACCCAGTGGGATTTTCAATAATGCATACGCAGCCCAGCTCCTGACAGCGCTTGAAGACTTGCACGGTGAAAGCATATAGAACATTGGCAGCCTGCACACGCTGCGCATTGATGCCCTGTAGACCCGGTAGTCCATCCGGGAAAGCATGAGACCGCAAGGGACTGGGCTTAGGCCCGTGGCGACTCGTGATAGGAATTGCTCGTGCCATCGAGGACGTGCCGCACGGCAGCGCCAGGAAAACAACCTGAGCTCTCGCGATCTCCCGCAGAATCATAGCCTGATGTTCGTGGTTGGTCAGATCCAGCCGTACGGCTGGCGCTTTCACAGCTCGTGGCTTAAGCACGTGATCCACTCCAAGAACATCACAACCTCTCTTTTGGAAAGCAGCCGCCACACCTGCAGTGCCACAAAAGAGCTCAAGGACGTAAGGGATGCCACCACACGGCACCCCATGTGGCATTCGCGCCGGTGCAGCGGTCGCCTCATGAACGTCAGCAGAACTGAGTCGGAAACCGAGTTGCTGCATGTTCGCCACTTGTTCCACGTTTAGGTCGGTTAACTGCCTGGGCATAAAAGCAACAATGACTGTTCGTTGGCCACCCTTCCACGGCAAGACCTTGTGCAGCTGCTGCGCATCCAGGAGCACAGGACCCTTGGCAACGCCAAGCAAAGTGCCCCACCGCCGACGACCCCGCGCGAAGAATTCCTCGGTGCCACCATTCTGTTCCACCAAAATGGATCCTTCAAGAAAGTCGCTGACAGGGCAGATCCAGTTGGGGCAACCTGGCTCATTGTTGATGTCAACATGAAAATCAGAGGCCAAAATAGTGAACATAGCCACAGCACCAAACCTCAAATCACGCGGAGCACCCGTGGGAGCTCCCGTCGTTTCCTCCTGCGGTGCTTGAGCTAAACATATCCGTTGCCACGCTGCTCCAGCATCCTCGTAGGGCGATGCAATATTCGTGAAGGGCAAGAGTGCAGTGCTTCACCCTTGGGGGCGACCTCGTGACCGCAAGTTCTTCAACAACCACGCTACCAAGCAGAGGGGGGCGGAGTCCTACAGCAAGCACCCTCGCCTCTCCAAGGCCGCGCTTCGCGGGGAGATTGACAGCGCTTGGGCGAGGGACTACCACGCGTCAGGGATCGTGACTTTCCGGAAGGGGGAGATCGCAAAGTTCAATGGCTTGGGATGGTCGAGAATGTCGGCTATGCCGATATGCTGGGGGGATCTGCCAGGCCGGTTTCCGCAAGGTGCATAGCCGTGAAGATCCACAGCGCAGGTTGCACGGCATGCTGCAACGCATGAATGTACGACTGGGGGATGCAGCCTATGAGCCTCCGAGACCACTGCAGAACGAAGGGGAGGGACAGGCGCCCCCCTCCTTGTGCAACAAGACGGCCTTTCGCACAAGGGGGGGACTCCACTTGCTGTTCGAGCCAGACGCGCTGGACCGCTGGACCACACAACAGGTGCAGACTGACAGCGAGGGGCGATACCGGCTCATGCCGTCGGGGGAGGCCCTAGAACCTGCTGCCGTGGTGGAGTACGAAAGGTACATGGCCAGACTCTCCCATAGGTCCATAGGTTCCGGCTGGGAGAACAAGCCGACCGCCTAGTACGTATTGTCGACAAATGGCTGCCGAAGGTGTCCCAAGAGAACAGAGTGTATGTGATGAAATTCCCAGAGCATACACCTGCTATGCTACGCAAGGCCTGGGGGATACGGCGCAGACTTCGACAACGGCGTGCCGAGCAAAAGAAAGCCACAAAGGGGGAGACACACCACCGGACAACAGGACAGACAGAAGCAGCCAGCAGCTCGCGGGGGGCGACACCAGCCCGTGTGAAAAAGGAGGACAGTGCTTCGGAAACCCCGCCAGACTGGGGAAGTGACGACAGCCAAACCGAAGAAGGGGGAGAAGCACAAGGCTCTGTCGGCCATCCACTACACTCTGCTTAGGCCATCCGCTAAGCTCTCCCTAGGCTCTGCCGAAGCCATCCCCTAGGCGCTCCTAAGCCCGCCCTAGGTTCTGCCTTTCTGCCCAGGTCATCCCTAGGCTTTGTCTAGGCTTTGCCGAAGCCATCCCCTTAGAAGCATGGCGGACAGAGGGCGACAGCCAAAGCACAGACCTAGGGGGACAAGACCGCAACCACAACGACTACAGCCAGAACGCCGACTCGCAGTGGCCGTGGGGAGCCGCCGGAAGACCGTCTGACCGGGAGGCCAACCAGGTGAAGCCCGCAGTGCCACAGTGGCACAGGGGGAACCACCGGCCAGAGGAAGCCCGTCGAGCCGGAGGGGGAGCCCCATGCCAGACGTCACAGCGAGCCGGTGGGGGAACCGCGGCCCAAAAGGTCACGTCAGCTTGCGGACACACAGGAACTACCCGCAAGTGAACCACGGAGCGCTCGGGGGAGAACGGCAGTCACCCTCGTACCGTGCATAAGCTGGCAAGTGCAGGAGGTGCAAGAGTACATGGCACAACGCAGAGGACAGAACGCGGCAAGGTCCAGCACTGAGAGGGAGTGAGCGCAGCGGAAAAAGTTTTTCAAGTGAAGACCGAGGAGGGGATTCAGGGACCGGTTTCGGGGTGCGTTTTGGTGTTTCCGTTGCTGAGTCGAATGGCCCCTCCCCTTCTCCTCGACTTAATGTAAAGGTCGTGCAAAACCCACTATGTGGGGGATTTCTCCTTTTTCGCGAACCCAGCCGGGGGAATAGATGTTGGCACGTTTCTCTGTAACATACCTGTCCATTTTGACTTCTCTGCAGAACTTTGCCGTGATTTGGCGAATTCCTTCCGCCCTTTTACAATTCGCTGCACTACCGTCGCCTGACGAAGTCGCGAGCCCACCTGACCATCCTTGCTGTATGCGCCACTGGTAAAAGAATGCGAATCATTGCCCCCAGAGCCCCTCGCAGGTACTTCAGACGGAATCAACGAAACAAGTTGCAACAACGCTTGACGATTGGGAAAACTACGCGCCGCCAGCTCCTCAGCTGGATGCACGAACTTGCAGTAATCAGTAGGAGAATGTCCTTGTAAATCAAAATGCGAAGGAAAATCATAGCAACTTCGCAAGGCTGCTGCCGGATCACGCGTAAGTTTCGCAGTAGTCTCGCTCTTGGGAGCGCGTTGGTCGCCTAGTCACGACCCGACATGCTTGATGAATGGATGTGGCTTGAAGCATTTCGGCTTGCAACAGCGACGCAGGCCCTTCGGACACTTGTCCCCACGAACCTGACACGTTCCCAAGTTGAAACCAAAACACAACACATTGCCAGAGTCATCTTCGGCGACTCCGCCGATAAGCGCTCTTGGCATCGCCACTCTCTTCACACGCTTACCCGCCTCTGGGTGAGGTGGAGGTGGCGGCGGAACTTCAGACTCTTCGTCCTTGCTCAACCCGCGCTTTCGCAGGTTCTTCTTCTTCTTCTTTTTCTTTGTTGGGCTGTCATCAGGAGTCTCCACTGACGGCTTTGTGCTCTTCGCACGCGGCATCAGGAGCCACATGACACTTGCCTGCCCAAGCACCTCTGCCATTGGCTTATCCAACGGAAGTGTCCCAACACCCGGAGCCAAACCAGCCCGAGTCAACTCTCCCAAACGGACATGAATTTCACGATCGGCCTGAGCAACTTGGGCCAACGAGACTTTCTCGTAGCCGTCCAGCGGATCCTTCTGATACTCATTGAAAAGCAATGCAATCAGCTCTTCATGCACAGAAAAACTCATCACTTGCGCAATAGCATATGCAATGCCTCTCCGCCGCAGCGCCTGCTGCACTTCTAGCTCAGAACCCACAACAGCCTGCATGGACGGACCTTTGTCCACCTCCCTGATCATGCCGCTCTTGTCGGGCTGCCAGACCTTCATCGAAGTCAGCTCCCGAACTGCATTGATTTCCTGACCACGTGTGGTACACGTGGTCCAAGAAATGTAGCGCACCCGATTGTCCTCAAGCATTTGAGCAGCTGCATTGATCAAAGCGTGACTTGGCTCCGACCTGTCTCGAATCAAGAGTGGCTTGATCTTTGACTGTAGAGCCTCGAGCCTAGCCGCCAGCTCCTGTGCAGGCAACTTGCGAGGAGCATCGTGCTCTGATGCGTCAGTCAACCTTTTCAGATCTGCAGCTGTCATAGTATAAGCTTCCATGAAGATTCTCCGCAACCTCGCGGCATGGGTCTGATCATCACCCAGTACAGGCCTGAGGACCCTGTCCGCAAAAGCCTTCTCATCCGTTTGATTCTGAATGCAAAATGCAAAAGTAGCATAAGTGTCCCATCCCAATGACTTCAGCTTCTTAACCACAGTCTCTGGTAGCCCGACGCGCTCACACCGTGAGGCAAACACCGGCTCGCTATCGACCATGGACATGTTGGGACTCAAGAGACTCCTACAATAAGAAAAGCATGGCTTCCAGCATGACTCAAATCAAACCTAGCTCAGAAATCACAAACGCCGTGCACTTCACACACACACACCCGTGCCGAGCAACCACTCTTCGACGGACGCCAACTTCGCTTGCACATCACAAACTCTCATGCACGCACCAAACATGATTGACTGCACATTCGAACTACGCAACGTAGACTTTTGCCTGAACAGACCCCCTCGTCACGCCCAGCACGTGTTGCACTGTCGAATGGCACACACTGGTACTCGGTCGAGCCTAACATAGTTGGCCGAAATCGGACTGCCACATTTCAAAACCTGAATCTCACCTTCGGACTCAGGACACTCAAGCCTCATAAGATAACACCACTGTAGTGATGCCTCTGCGTATCAGCGTCCTGCCGGCCACTTGCCAAGTACTGAGAGACCTGATGCACAACAGTTTCCGCTGCAGCCTCTTCGGCCTCGGAGTGGCCTCCATCGCCGCATTCCGAAACCTCGGACTCGTCACCATCATCGCTCTTGGCATCGAGGTCAGGCGGGCCCGTGCTCAAAGCTGTATGCCCAGCGATAATAGCCACGCCCTCATCAACCGAGCGGCAGCCAGACCACCTTCCAGAACGCTGCGCGTCCGGACAGAAAAATCCTTGAGCGATACACATCATCACTCCTTGTATAAAGTGCAGAACCGCCGTCTGGCCATCCCGCTCATATTCTGCGGGATCGCGCTCGCCTGCTGCCAAATGATATCCAGCCCTCCTCTGTATGTCAGACGGAGCCGGCGCTCTAGAGAGCCAGCTGAGGATCGTCGCCTTAAGCGAATGAGTAATGAGAAAGAAGCCTCTCAGGCGATGGGTTTGTCGCCTTCAACTTTTCCCTCAACCACATAGATCCCAGCGTAGAATCATAAGGAACAGCAGCCCATCCACCCCACACCAGAGGCGCCGGTTGGAAAGGTTTTCCAGGCCCCGCCACAAGGCCCTGCTTCTTACGGTTCGACAGGTGATGCTCGGCCCAACTGAGTCCCGACACTCCCGGTAAGACAGCAACCACTGGCAACACCTTGAAACCCATTGCAGCCGAAGTCTTGTGATCGTCTAGCCTCCCTTCGAAGAAGCCATCCCCGTTCCCACACAAGTCTAAGGTGGGCTCGCTCTCCATGTGCATGCCATCACTCCATCTCAAGCGACAACGCAGAAGCACACAGACATAACCTGCAATTATGGCGTCCTGACTGAAGGGGTCAGCTGAAACCGCAAGTTTCTCGATGAAGACAATCTCGCGAAGAAGAAGAGGGGCCTTCTTTCTCACAGGAGGGTTCGGAACCACAGGACTGCATGCTCCCTTGACCCTCGGCGAAGTCAGAACTGCATCCACATCTGACCCGATCATCCCTTTGGCAAATCCAACAGCCTCCACAAACTTTACAGCTCTGGATCTAGGGGCACCTTCCCTCCGGAGTTGGCAGAGGTACGAATATGCCTCTTTTTCAGACATCGGAAAAATCGCGCCCACATCTGTTCCAAGAGTAGTAGACTTCCACTTGGCAAAGATAAGCAAAGAACCAGCTCGCGACGTAAGAGTGGACGTAGCCTTTCCAGCAAACGTGTCCCTCAAAGAAGCCTCAAGTTCCTCTGCATCCCCGACTGTTTGAAGAATCTTTCCAAGCTTTGTAGAGTCTACAGACTGTAGGATAATGGCTTTCCACATCTGCAACGCAGCATTGCGCGCCTCGTCCAGCTCGTCTCGCCAGGCTTCAGTCCGGGCAGTTGAAACCAGCCAAGATTTCCTGACCTCCCTGACACCCACAGCAAGATCAGCATCGCTGGCAGAAGTAGAAGCACTCGAAGCAGCTTCCCAACACAAAACATCCTTCGACGGCCACATCATTTTAGGAAGTTCTGAAAATGGTGACTTTGCAGACTTCTCTCCCAAAACTGCCCTGAGGCACTCTTGGTTTTCCCAAGGCAACGGCGGCCTCGTCGGACGCATGCCGATGGACCACATGGTCGCCCGAAGAGCCAGGTCGTCCAGCCCATCCTTCCAAGGCCAGCCCTAACGGCCACGAAAACAATATCTTCCAGGAAGGCCCGATGGGTGGCAGCACTCGAGTTCAGTAAAGCAGCCCTGCCCGCAGGATCCAGCAGGTTCCACAGCGCAACGGTCAGCTGTTGACTGGCCCCGAAGCAAAGACGCAATCAAAACACAAATCGCTATAACGTGAGAGCTCGCAGATGTACTTACTTGCCAAAGAAGCTGAAGACTCGCTGTCCTCGTATTCCATGCAGCGCCCTGCCCCGGCCCGGCACTACAGAAACTTACGCAAAAGGCCTCTAGAGGAACCCATACACCAGTAGACGTGTCGTGGAGTGTCCGCCAGCCCTATCCGACAACTCACTCCGCTCGCAGCTTTCACCCGAACTCGCGCTCAGGGCTACTCACCACTTCCCTCGCGGGAGTGCCAGCAATCAGGCCCGGAACTCACACTATGCTAGCGGATCTTACAAGGCCCCAGTCAAAATTTTGCCAACTCGTGCCCTCACAAGCCGACACTTCGGATATGTGGAAGCTCAGTGACCCTCCGCGCCCCTTCCCACAAAAGAACACGAGTTGGTAAAATAAAGCTTCGTGAAACATCAGGAAAATAAACATGTTGGTGGTTTGAAAACTTCTTTCAAAATTTCCAACATGATCAAACGATTCTGTCTGTTATGGGGCGGCAGGCTTCCATGCCTTTTGCTCACGTTCGGAATAAAAGGAAGTCACAAGTGAAAAGAGCCTTCTTCGTTCGCTTTTTCTACCTGGGCCTGGCGCCTTGCCTTGGCCTCTTCTTGCTTCTGCAAGAGCTCCTCTGTTCGGAGCCTCATTATATCACTTTGGTCTCCACTGGACCCGGCAGCCGTACTCTGCTGCACACTTTTCGGTGCGTGTTTGTTGAGGTTCTCCACCTCCTTTCACACCTCTTCGAGGTTCACCCTCTCTTCGTCCTTTTCGCTGTTTTTAAGCACCTGTTCAGGTACTCCACCGACTCTATCGACTTGGCTTCGTTCGTAATCATAATCATCGCTTTCAGCTGTGTTTCGTAGGCTTCCACCATAGCCTGCTTTGTCTTTTCCATCACATCTTCACTTCCTGACATGTTTCTTTCTTTATTTTCTTTTTCTTTCCAAACTTCTTCAACCTCTTTTCCTTTCACTTCTTTCCTTGAGTAGAAAACGGCGGCGGCATGAAACATGTACTCAACACTTTCAACAAAACTTCTCCACAAGCTACTGTTGCACAGCATGACAACCATCATGATCATCATCATCACCACCGTCATCAAACCAACACTTCCACCATCACTGCTTCTACTGCTTTGGTCACGCAACCCATCACATTGCTACCCTGATCTCTTCATTCTCCTCTCCTGTTCTCACACCGATCTTCTCCAAACACTTCACAACAGCATTCCTTGACAACGCTTTTGTACCTACATCTGCAGGGTTTTCCTTTCCAGCTATTGCTCTCACAAGAAGACCTACTGAAGTAAGCCTTTGGACCCAAAGCAGCCCAGCATCAATGTGCCTTGTCCTTCCTAGGCCTTTCTTCATGATAACCGATCTGGCGCTACTCGAATCCATCCTAATGACCATGTCAGGTCGAATCCCAAGAACCCTGTGCAAAAGGTTCTGAAGAAAAACTCCTTCACTCAAACCTCCAACGGCTGCTACCAGTTCACTCTCGCAACTGCTCAGAGCTGTCGCTTTTTGCTTTCTAGCGTGAAAGTAAACGATGACTGTTCACAAAAATCAAGACGCAGCTCGTTGACTGCCTGTTCTCACGATCGGTCGCCCAGTCGGCATCCGTCACTACCTCGATCAAACTCTTTGCCGTGAAAACATCTTTGTCGAAATTCTCAGTTCTCTTATCTCTTGGATCCAGAAAACTCTTTCCAGTATATGCTCCCTTGTGTTCAATCACATAGTGCGATGTTGCCTTCACATACTTCGCCACGTGCCTTAGCACCGCTAAGTCTCCTCGCGTTGGTGCTGCCAACTTTCCTGACAACCACTTCGTAGCAAATCCCAAGTCGGGTCTCTCTGGCGTCATGTACAATAGGATTCCTACACAGGATCTATACAGATGATGTTCATCTGCATCCAAAGGCGTGTCGTCCTTCAACGATCTCCCGTAATCCAACGGAAACGGCAACTTCGTTGGAAGGAATTTTCCTAAACCCAAAGTCTCTTCCAGCTTTTCAAGGTACTTGCCGTCCATCCTGATCTCAATTCCTTCCGCGGTTCCTAAGAATGCTCTCTTCAAGAAGGTACACTTTCCTTCTCCAACCTTCACTGGACCTTCCAGTTTGATCTTCAACTTGTGCTTCAGCAGCAGACCCACTACTGCTTGGTTTTCCTTTGGTTTCCCAAACACTTTCAAATCATCAACGTGGGTACTCATCAGCGTTCCTCCTTCTCCTGGCGTCTTTGAGAACTTGTAAAAGAAACTTGGTAACCCCACATCGGAAACCATCTTTTCCTACCACTTTCCTCCTAGACTCACAACTGTGTACTCTTTCTGTGGCGCCTGAAGGTAGGCGTTCGAGATGTCTATTGAGATCATCTCGTAATCTCTTGAGCTCGCACACAAGGCTAACAGCAGCTTGATATTCGAACCAATGCTCGTTGGGGAGTACAAAGCTGAAAGGTCGTAGTCTGTCAACCACTTGTACTCGCGCGCGACTAGGCGGGCGCGCCTCTTACATTGGAGGTCCCTGTGCCTCCAATCCAACACGTACTTAGTACTGAGTTTCTTTGGTTCTTCGCCATTTGGTCCTTTCTTCAATTCTCCATTCTCATCCAGCTCTACCTCCTTAAGAACTTTCATCTCCAACAATCTCTCAATCTCGGTCTTCTCCGCTTTCAGGTCCACCTTCTCTAAGTCTTCTGCTTCCAGCTTAGGTGGTCCATCATCGTACTCGTGAAACCAGTAACCGTTAG